TGCTTATAAAAAACGCATTGTTTTATTTTTTATGTTATATATTGTCTTGCACTCACCTGCATGTGAAATCGGTTTCGCCCAAACACAACTCCAAACAATCACGTCGCGAAATCACTGGTATCGTGCGCTTTGCATAGCCATTTAGCTTGTAGCCCTGCACGCGGTCAACACACCAGGCACGTGCGCACGGCCGAATGCCGAGACATGATTTCTGTGCATAAATTGTGAAGACAGGGAATTGCGACTTGGTGAGTGCGCCTGGTGGGAAGAGAGGTAAATAAAAAGGAAAATTCTTCAGTTGCATTTTGTCGTTGAAATAAAATAAGTATAAATAAACAGGAAAAAAGTAAAAATAATATGAATAAATAATGATCGACTATGAAATGAAAATCTAATATTAATTTTTATAGTAAAATTTTACTTATAACTGAGGACTTAAGTTAAATGTTTGTTAGAAAATTTCGAAAAAATTTATATAAAATAATTTTATTGATTTGGTTTTATTCTCTTTTATTGCCTTTCATAAGAGGAGCGATTTTCTTTCATACCTATAATTATTAAAATTTTTTTTATATGCTATAAATATTAATTACTTTTTAACTATTTTATGAATTAATAATTTAGAAGTCTAATTTTTAAATTTTTTTTTCATTCCTCAAATTTTTTTTTTACTTTCGTTCCATTTCCAACGTTCTAAGCAAGTTTTGGTCTTTATACCACGGCGCCGAAATGTAGGCAACATACTACTTTTGTCATAGTGTATTAATGGTGTTGCATACATTTTGGCGCAATATTTTGTTTTCAAAAATATAATATTTTTTTCAAAAATACAATTTTTTTTTCAAAATATAATATGGTTTTTTAAAAATGTAATATTTTTATTTTTTAAATATAATTTTTTTTCAAAAAATTAATTTTTGTTTTAACTATCTTTTTTTCAAAAATATCTTAAATATCATTGCTGAGGTAAGCTGTTAAATAAATCTAAAGTGATTGGCTTCGAAATCACCCAAATGGTTCTCCATTCACTCCTGCCAACACTTTATGTCGTCTTCGTATTCACTTAGATTAAGTTATGCAAATTTTTATCGTTCTCTCCTGATAAAAATCACTTAAGGAATTATGTACAAGATAATAAAAGCACAGTTGCAATTTATGTTGCAGCTTTAGCGCTGCTGAATTACGCTTATTGAGGGGTATAGCTACTTACTAAGTGGCGAATAGCAGTAAAGTGCGTGTTTGCAACCGCCTTCGAGCGCCTTTAATAGCAATTCAGTAACAAAATGCATAGCAGTAAAGCAAAACAGGCAAAGTGCTTCAAGTGGCAATAACTTAAGCCACACTTAAGCGGAGTAGAATATAAAATCGTACATTTCTATCCATATACTCTATTTAGTTATTATACATATATTGTAAAGAGTAAGTTGGCAGCAACTTTTTTACGATCGAAATTATTATTTGCGCGACAATTAAGCGGCTGTGACTGGCGCTGAAGCAAGCAGCTTAATATTTTCCTGTTTTTTTATTACCAATTTTTAAACCTCAGTTAATTGGTATACCAGTGTCAAGTGAGGTGAGAAAACTTTACTAATTTCTGGTTCATCAAACTGTTTGTTACATTCCCACATAACTCATTCAGGTTGCTGGCAGTTTGATCGCTTCCTTATGGCTCATAAATAAAGCTCAACGCGCATGCGCAACTCAATTACTACGCGCTCGAACTTTGCCGATTCATGCTGATCATTGGTCTTTTACGATAATTGCTGATTTTGTTGCCACCTATTTATTCGCAGCTTGTTGTGGCGTCTTCAATGATTTTGCTTCTTATTTCTGGATTTTTCTTTTAATTTTCAGCAAGCGTTGCTTTGGCTACGTCAATCTGATTAAGTTTTTTTGTCCAAGTCTGTTTGGTTTCCTTCTTGGTTTTCAAAACAAATTTTTGAGACAGTATTTTTGCTTTTACTTCGATTGTGGCAATAAATTAGCGTAATTATTTTTTTTTTTTTTAGTGTTTTTATGTTACTATTTCGGTTATTGATCGCCATAATTTCTGACATTGGCTTTGAAATTTATATTTGAACCAACAAATAATTGTATCGCCTACATTTCGGCACGCAAATAAATTTTTTTATTTTTCCAAGCAGTACAACGCCATTTTTTTTAAACAAATTCATATTCAGTAATTGATGGCTATAAATTTTGTCTGAAGTTATTATTATTTGTAGAGTCTACCATTAAGTTCTCGTTCTAGCTTTAAGTTTGAAATTCATACTTGTACCAAAAATAATTGTGTTGCCTACATTTCGGAGCGCAAATTAAATTTTTTGTTTGTTAAAGACATTTTTAATAAAATTTTTTAAGAATTTTTTAATTTTCCAGAATTAAACGAGAATATTTTTTTAATGATTCTCAGCTTTGGTGTTTTTTAAATTTCAAATTGACCTTTCTTGATAATTTTGCTACTTATTTCTTCTTTACACCTCCAAGGGTCTTTTCTTTTTTATGTTCATATTTTTCTTCTTCGTTTTTTTTTCTTTTCATCTTTTTTTTGTAATTATTTAATTGGCGAATCGCCAAATGACAAACCAATTTATTTTCAAGGCTTTAATTGGCTGTTGCGCGACGGCTGAAAGTGACTAATGATATTTGGTGTGAACGAAGCAATGTCAAGGTCAGCGGAAAAAATCGATTTGACTTTTACTTTGGTTGAAAAGCAAAACCTCGCAAAAGAATTTAACCGAAGGTCGTTAACTACAAAGTCGCTGCTTGTGACTTCTCTTCATTTTTAATAATGCTTCAATTCATTACAACGCTTTCAATCTGACAATGCCGGCGGTGGTCGCAGTTGATGCTTGAGACATTTTTGAATGGCAATTATGTGATAATATTTGATGAGAAATCTACAGCAATTTTTTGCATTCTTTTCTTCAGTTAAATTTGGCTGGTTATTTAATTTTCGTAGGCATTTTGATTAGAAGACATGTGGTTTTATTTATTGAGTTTGTTAATTAGCTTGTAAGAAGTTTCTAAATTCTTCTTTTATTGAAGCAAATTTCAAACGCCTGCACTCACCTGGTAACTTATCTGCATTAGCCGAGAAGAGTACACACAAGCCAGTTTCATAGTTCACAGCACGACAAGCCTCATTCGATTGGCAAGCCTCTAAGCAATCGGTCAACATTAATGTGCCAGGCAGTGAATTTAATAGTTTTCCTGGAGCGGAGAAAACGTAACTGTTAGGGAAGAAATAAAATAGTTTTAAAAATTAAGAGCATTTCTAAACAAATTATATTTGTAATAAATTGTTAGGTGTGAAACTCTGCTAAAATATGCCTAAAGGTAGGCAAAGTTTTTATTTAAAGAGTTTAAAGCTGATACACTTTCAAATATTTAAGTGTTGCTTACATTTAAGGTCATATAGAAATCGTTCGGCGACCGAAAATATAACTAATCAGTAAAAAACGTTGTTTCTACTATTAAACTGGGTGGAGGACTTCCATGAACTTCTAAATATATTGAATTTAGGGCTTAGGTGTATGACTTTGCTAAAATATGCCTTAAGGTAGGCAACGATGTTATTTTAATAGATTAAAGCTGTTACACTTTCAACTATTTAAGTGTTGCCTACATTTAGGGTCGTACAGTAATCGTTCGAAAGTGAAAATATTTAAAGGAATGCAGAAAGTCATTAAAAGTAATCTAATCACCTAAATATATTAAATTTCAAAGCAAATTTCGGTAAGTAAATAGTTTACTGAAAAATTCCTTTATATACATACATATATTTATACTATGAAGTATTAAGTACCTGCGTTAGTACCGCCCAATTCTTATATGTCATATTTTAGAAAGACTACTCCAACCTTTCGTAAACCGTGAGCCATCCCCCGAGGTAAAGTACTTAAGTTTACGCTAAAGTGAAATAGAGCAGCTGCAATAATATTTTACCTAAGTAAACTGCCATATTTTCTAGCCAAATGATAGCCCGTGTCACTCGCGAAAGAGGCGGTTATGATGAATGCCACTTACGCTGAAGCTCTTAAGATTAGGTACAAGTACTTATGTAAGTACTTCTGCATACACAACTACACTTCTTCATACCCATTTAAAGGCATAAGTACCTGTGTAGAAATGGGTTTGCTGAAATGTACTTTGAGCAGACAATCAACATGCAACCTACATTTTTACACGCAATATTTGCAAATGAATTATTATGATTTTTTACACACACACACACACACACACACACATGCATGCATATATAGAAACAATTGTGTGCAGTAGACAACGAGACATGACTGATGCAGTAGTGAAACTTGTAAAGTGCCTGAGTGATGCTGGAAAAATGTACAATTCGAATGAACACCTCTTGGCTTTCGAAGAGCTACTATCCATCTTATATGTATCTTTAGATATAAATACACACACACACAAATCTATGCTACATGCATCTACGTATTTAGAACGCAGAAGATGCATGTTGCATATTAACTTTTCCTATGCTGATTCTTCTGCTTTGAATAATTACATTTTGTGAAATGTGTTTTTGCTTTGCTCTGCATTTTCACTGCGGCTGTGACTTGTTGCTTTTGTTGTTTGTAGTTGTTGAGGCTGTGCCCTGGTTATGGCAAATTAGTGGCTGACATCAGTTTTGCTGACATCTTGACTGATGATTTGTCGGTCGTGTTGCACGTTGTCCAGTGTATGTCCGTGTGACAGGTTGTTGCAACAATCAGAAGAGGAGCACCACAGTAAAAGAGCGATAATAATTATAATATGCATATGAGTATGTGTGCGTGTGTGTATGGTGTGGAAGGTGGCAGGAGTGCTGATGAAGCCACTCGTTACAGCAGCGTGACTACCGCTGTCATGTAATTGTAAGACTTGAAAGTAATTAAATACCCCAGCATATGTGCTGAGATAGAGATATGTATATTGTTGTTGTTATTGCTGTGGCTTTTGCACGACTGGGTGCGAGCAATTTCTATTACTAATGTTGTTTGAAATTTAATTTTCTGATCGATATTAGCTTGGAAACACTTTATTTGGTGTAGATAGGTGCTTAGTTGCGTTGCTCGTCTCTCATTTATGGCATACGCCGCGGGGTTGGGTTAGAAAAAAAGGAATATGGAGTTGGAGTGCTATGTTGACAGCGCTGATTGAATTGGTTTGCTGTTAGTTGAACATAAGACATGCTTGGTGGTTGCGCGTACGCCCAACTACTTTTTGTTGCCTATGAAAAATTGTCTGGAAGTAATCATACCTTCACCGTTTGCTTTCAAAGACTGCTTGGAGTCATCATGCGCACTATATTTTATAAATGGAATTTTTCTCAATTTATTAGGATTACTAATTGGACACAACTTAGAATATGTCTTTTAAACACAACTTTACATTAATAAAGTACTATATGAAAAATTTACATTTTAGCAAAGTCACACACCCTATTTGGTGGCATTAGCTTGTAGCTCCTAAAATGCTCTTTTATTTTAATTTTTACTAAATTTACTACTAATTGTAGTTAAATAATTTTACAAGTTTTAGCCTCTTTTGAACAATATTTTTATTCGTAATCATCCTCAATGTAGGCAATACTCTTTGATTGATAAGTGACATATTGAAAAGGCACATTTTAGCTAATTTTCGCTAAATCACACACATTTTTTGGTGACATTGTAAGTCATTACTAATGGTGGGAGTTCAAAGAACGGCAATTTTTGAACAATATTTTAAGAATACACAGTAAATTATAAAAAAAAAATTTTTTTTCAACCCAGCATACACGCGACTGCGCTAAAATTAAGTCCGTCTCTGTTGCAGTAGAAACTCGAGAGCGTTCAATGCTCTTCAACTTAGGTTCACTCCAACTATGATATGCAAAAGTTGCCATCAGACTCACAGAGTCTTGGTTTCTAAAAGAACACGGGTCTGAACACTTGGATATCCTAACATAGTTTGATTTCATAGCGGGGTACTTGGATCATGGAGTCGCCAAAAATGAACTCTGTTGGTTCCCTTTCTACCCACATACCATCGAGGGAATTGTGCATGGGAAGAAGCCGTTGGAGGAGAGAAGGCATCTGTGCTTCTTCACGGACGGATCAAAGCTCGGGGGAATGTTTGTGGAGTGGTTTACTGTTGGAAATTCTCCATCCACTTCAGTTTCAGACATTCATTGTAGCCATTAAGATAGCTGTCAACTTATTGTTAGTACTTACTTACTTACTCTGTTAGTGAGGCAGCGGTGCTAGCTGTGAACTCATTAACAGTGCGTTCAAGGCTGGTCGAAGAGTGCCTAACCTCGCCATCAATAACATCGAGTATCTTTGTAATAAGATTGGTATGGGTGCTAGGCCACAGCGGAATCGCAGGAAACTGTAAACTTGAAGAGCTAGCAAGAAAAGGCACCCTAGAACCGTTATCGGTAGAATGGGAGCGGATCGGTACTCCTGTATCCTCTTATGTTCTATTACTAAATAGCTGGGCTTCGCGGAAGCTTTGTCAGCGCTGAGACACAATCGGTACATGCGCTGTCTCAAAAGCCTTTTAGCATGAAATCTAGTTATTTCTTTGGCCTCAGTAAGGTTAGCCTCTCCTTAGCTGTGCGGCTTTTAACGTGTCATGGTCCTATTGGCGTCCAGGCAGTAAGGCTGCAGAAGCTGTATGGAAGCAGATAAGGTAGAAACAACTCCAAATTTAGTTCTTGACTGTCCCGCGTTTGGGAGGGCAAGACGTAAACACTTGGTTGCGCATACCTTCGGACATCCCTTCGAGCTGGCGTGAATCGAAAATGAACGCCTGTGCAAATTTGGAAATATAATAAAAAATTTCCAAAGCAAAAATATCGATCAATATCAATTGAAGCCCTTGATGCTTTATACCAAATAATTTATATTCAAAATATTTTATATTCTAAGCACAAAAATATAAAATCTTAAAAGCTTTTCTTCAATATTACTCAGATGTAGTGAGCAATTCATTGACAAACTATGGAGATTTGTATAAAACTTCTTCTTTCAATTTACTCTGCTGACTTTCAACCATTTTCAGTGTCGATTTGGATAATTTTAATTGAAAATTCCGGCAAACAAAAAAAAAAAAAAAAAAAAAAAAAAGATAAATGCCACAAAGTCGCGAATTCCTGTAATACTATTGGAATATTTGCCGCGCAAATTATTGGCTTTTATTGCATAATTCTCACACAGCGCAGTGGGCTGACGGCAGACCTGACGGCAGACGGCGAAAAAAAAGCAGGCGAACATGCTGCCAATACTCGTTAAAGTCGCGCAACACAAAAGAACATGGCTTGCAACATGATCAGTGTCAGAAAAGGTTATCGAATTGGCAAATCAATATCAAAGCCATAAAATCAAAATAACATTTGAAAATTGCTGCGAGGTCAGCGCTGACTGTGCTTGACTGCATAGCTGGCTCATGCCGTACTTAAATTACTTGCCTTGTTTTTTGCCTTACTGAACGCGAAGGTTTGCATACCCTTGGCACCGCCGGCCTGTGCCTGCTTGTCACACTCAGCAAAATGCATTGGCTGCCTCCCCCAAACTACCACTCACACTTGGCAGCGAAGTTGCTCGTTGTTCGTTGTCCTTTCATCATTTGCTTGCGCGTGCGCGCGCGCGCATTCTTGCCATAAACGGCCGCCAAGCCGCCAATGCGCCAATACGCCCGAGGCCAATGACAAAATGCGCTTTAACTTAATAACAAATAACGTTTGGCTTTCAACGTAGACATTTGTTGCATTGGCTATGGCCCACAAAATGAAATTGTAGCCGGCCATTTGCCACATTTTCTCGCTGATTGCCGTACTACTGAATGTGGCAACCGCAATGTTGCAATATAAAGTGTATGTATGTATAAAAAAAATGTATGGCAATGCGCTTGAAAAGTAATAAGAAGAAGAACGAGGGGAAGAAGACATAAAGCAATCGAGTGGAAATCAGCACAGCAGCAATAAATAGAATAACAGCAATAAAAATCGCCGATACCGCTATGATTACGCCACGAATTTATTGAATTCACAGCCTATAATTGCGGCAACAAGCAAAACAATAAAATGCGCTGGCCAATTGCTGCCACAGATTCTAACAGATCCCACTAGCTATCTGCGCATATCGCGCGCGCAAGCCTACATATGTATGTGTGTGTGTGTGTGTGTGTATAATACATATGTTTTTATATGTATGTATATGTATATTTGAGTATGTTTGTGCCTGTT